CCAATTTAGACAAGTATTGGTTTTGCTTCAAATTGTTTAGTGAACTCACATTTAAGCCCATTGTATACAAGCATATAATCAAATCACTTGTCGTCTGATTTATTATACAATTAAATAACAATTAAAAATCTATTTTCAAAGCAATGAATGAAATGACAAATCATTGCAAAAAATACTCACATATTATGCCTGTATTGCTGTACAGCCGGCCCTTCAATACACTCTACAGACAGTCACGTGTCCACACATTTACACCATAGAAACACATACAACGTTACATCACATCCACTCCCCCACACATCACCACAACTGATCCCGTCTTTGCCACCACTCAACCAATTGCTCAATCAAGCATGGTCACTTGCTCACATGACCATGTTCAAGCTGTTCCACTACACACTTGTCCATATGACTCAAATAATAAACCATAAAAAGGCTTCATATAAAGCGCACTCACTGTACGTGTGGGCAGTGTATAGCTATGGGCGGACATACAGTATGACTGGTTATGTAATACAGTATTTTGAGGTCAAATGTATTGCATTGTATTGACTGCTGGTTTGGACTTCACATTCATTTCATTGGTTTAGCGTTTGTTTTGTTTACGTATTAATCATATAATCATTGAATGAATTAATGATTGTTTGAAATGCAATCCAAACACTAGTGACTGATGTCTGCGATAATCACTTGATTTATCACTATTTAATGTATTGGTGACCAGATTTGGTGATCCATTCACACCATTCACGCCATAATGTCGTCCAAAATGAAAGGCAAGAAATGGTCGACTGACTCGAGAGGTCACTCCAGAAGTGATCCGTCGTTTGATTTGTTAGAATTGTCTCAACTCTTGCGCAAAGAATACACGTTTGTCTCAAACGAAAGAAATAATTTACAAAAACTCAATGAAAAGGTAATTGAAATTATAATTATGATAACTGTAATGAAATGGCATTTGGGATGTGATTGAGTGATGTGTTGGTCTGTTGAACAGGTGGTGACGGCGTCTTCGCGAGTGTTCAACACGTGTTATATATCGCGCGAACAGCGGTCTCACAGCGAAAGACTGATATCACACGGAAGTGCGGATCTACTGAATTGTTGCAATGCTTTCAATCGCTTAGAATGTCTTCATTTCGTCGACGCCTACAAGAAGTTGGGCTCAAATGAGCCACAAATCAGTGAATTGATTGCTTTCGTCCGAAAGAGTCCCGAATTGTTGGCTAAATGTTTGATATGTTTGGAGAAAATGAGACCCGAATTAGTGGAGAATATTTCGCAAACAATTTTGTCGAGTCTTTACTCCAATTGTATCTTAAATGAGGACAAAGTGTTTGCTATGAAACTAATGAAACACTTGATTACTGCTGAGCTGTCAGTCATTGCAAACCCGCGACGAGTATTGCGTTACAGTTGGTGTGCATTCAGTCATATTTATCGACTATTTTGTGATCAAATATTGGACGCAAAGCCATTCCTAACGGCAGCTCTTTATGAACCGGTTATGCAATTGTTGGCTGAAGACGACCTGTTCCTGGATATAGAGCCCAATAGGGCTGCCGTCAGATTCGCACCGTCTGAACGCATTCGCCATTTTGGCAAAGAAGGCACTCAACTCTATTACGAGAATCTCCAGAAATACAGGATTTGGACGATCAATAAATTGGCACTTTTTGTCACCAAATTTGTTGACGGAATTCAAAACAATATCTTTTGCTTTCCTCACAGTCTGTCATGGATTGTGAGACAACTGTACGCTTCGATCGTCGACAACAAGAACATTGAGCCCCGAGAAGTGGCCGCCATTTGTACGGATCTATTGTTTGGCTTTTTCATATGTCCAGCGATTTTAAACCCCGATTTGTTGGGTATAACCGACGCTCACGTGAGTCATATCTCACGCTTCAATTTGCAACAAATCGCACAAATCATTCAAATGCTTGCACTCTCTAAATGGGAACAAATTGATCCCAAACTGGAAGACCTTTACTCCCGAATACCCAAAGAAGGCATAACCAAACTCTTGGATCACATTCTTGAGAAACGTAACGATGAGTTACCCGAAGAACACAATAATCTTCAGTTACTCAACAGATATTCTGTTCTTATCTCAGAGACAGAACTCAAGAATTTTATTCAATTTTTAAATTCAATGAACTTTGAAACAGAAGACGAGATTACAAAGAAAATGAAGGATATTCTCGAGAAAATTCCCGAAAACTTTATCACTGAAAGCACTGATAAACAGAATTCAAGCACAATGTCTGAAAACTCGCCGCGAAATCGGAGAAGTATTTTGAATCGCGTCACCAAAAAGAGTAAATCCAATGAATTGCAGTTGAATTCAAACACATCCGAAACCACTGTCGGACAGAACAGAGGATCAGATCTGCAAAATATGGATGTGTTAGTGATTCCCATCGGAAACACTCG